AATATCCTCCAAACCTGTTTTCCCAACATATCGAAGTTAAAATCTCTTAAGTTTCTAAAACCCATACCACCCTCTTCTTTAGCACCACAAAGAGCATCCCAATGCAGCGAAATCGAGCACTTTAACATAGCTGTTCGGGTACAAACGCTGGAGATATTTCAGGCAGATCTCTTCTCCTTTTTCCTAGAGGTTCGAATATGAGAATCCTCGTAAGCAGACTGCTGATAAAATCTTGAGACCCCCTTCTCTCTGGTATGAATCTTCTCAAGCAAAATAGTAGAAGTCCATCTGAGTATGCTACGAACCATGGCTGTTGAAGGCAGTCAGGATTGGATCGGCATAACAGAACAAAACCTTGACGAAGGCGGCGACGCGTTAGGGATTTTCCCCCGATGAATACTCGTTAGGGTTTTGGGGCCGGGCCTGGATCCTGTGTATGTTTAAACTAACTAATTATCGGCCTGCCGGGTCAAATATTTTTTTTTATGGAAATCTATATTCATTTCATTAATAGAATTATAATGGGTCAGCCGGAAACCGGCCCAAATCAGCCTCTAGCAAATACATAAGGGAAATTGGTGGTTTATCCACCCAAACAATCTGTTTGTCCCACGAACCAACCGAATGGTCAAGCCAATAAGCCACACCATTAACATTGCGAGGTGCAAAAACCCATTTTACTTGAATCCCAGACAGCCTCAAGTTAATCTCTGCCAAATTCCAAATCTCTTGACACCAAATTCCCAGCTCTGTTTGATCTTCTTCTCCTTCACACAACTTTCGAATAAGCACATGGCAGTCCCATTCCACGATCAGGGGACTCAGCTCTCTTCTGTTAGCATCCCTTAACCCCATCGACATCGCTTTCGCCTCAACCTCGATTGGTCTGCACTTTCCCCTTTCTTTCATCGTTGTGGCTCCCCTGAAAGCTCCCCCCAAGTCACGAAGAATAGCACCCATAACAATTCCAGATTGGTGTAAAATTCATGCATCGGAGTTGAGCTTGAAGAATCCTTCAGGCGGCAACGCCTAGTGGCAGACCCAGAATTGTCGGAGAGGTGTGTCGCCGATAAAATAAGATAATAAGTAAAAATTATTTAAAAATTATTTAAAATTAATAAAAAATTAAATAGAAACTCATTCATAAAGTTCACAATTTCATGTTTACAACGAACCACGACGACTTTTCATATCCCAAAATGTCAGAAAAATACATTAATCGCTTATGTTGCGAAGAAAATCCTTTTCGGTATACATAACTAAACAATCATTCATAAATTGGTCACTCAACCGATTTCGAAGTTCATTATTGATTATCTTCATAGATGAAAATGCTCTTTCGCAGCTTGCAATTGCAATAGTTTAAGTCAACACCAACTTCAAGAACAAGTAAAACTAAAGGATAAAAAGGGGATGCGGCAGTGGGTCTCGGTAATTAGAAACTAATAAGGGGTAAGGGTGAGTTTTTTATTTTATTTTTTATTTTAAATAAAGGAATGGTCAAGGGGTAGAAACTGTGAGTTTCAAAGGATAGGGTTATGTTTATTTTTTCATTGTTGGGTTGTGGTATGGGTTACTATAAAACAAATATACTTATTATTCCTTATTATTAATTAAGATAAATAACTTTATAATAAGAAAATCATTCTTGTATAATGAAGGTGTGTCGCTCATAATTATTTAAGGTGTGTCGGAAGTTCGGAATTAAAACTTTTTGTACAAAAATATATATATATCCTTCACAAAATTTCCGGGCGAGGGTGTGTCGGGCGACACACCTGGCTTTTACTAGGTCCGCCCCTGGCGACCCCATCCTTCCCAGGAGGATCTCCTACTACATGTCGCCCGTTGATAATCCTGGTCTTTGTTCGCCTCAAGAAATCAGTCAAGCCAAGCTAAAGCCCTGAGGATAATCTTTTCTTTGGCAAGCTTCTGGTGGTTGTTCTGGTGATTGCAACGTTCTTTCCACAGCTATCATAACACCACCCCCAAACTTCTGGATATTTCCTTGGTCAAAATTCTTCCAAAATCCTTAAACAGTTCAAGACCTGATTTGCCCTCCCCAATCTCATACATTTCTTTTCCTACCCAGCCCTGCCATCTGTTTCTGATTCAGCTGCAATCCCGCAGCGCATGAGCCTGGTTCTTAGAGAGTCCATAAAAGGGGCACTCCAGACAGATATCATCAATCCATTCAGCTAGGTTGCATCCTACATGTAAGATGTTCGTACCTGCTTTCCATAGGAATATGCGAACCTTGCGTGAAACATTAAGTTTCCAAAGTAGTTTCCATAACTTAGAATCATCTCTAGCGGGGAAGTACTGATTGAGCTGTTGTTTAGGATGTTGCTCCTATAGGTGTCAAAACCTGGCCCGACCTGAGTAACCCGCCCAACCTTTGTTACATTAATATAGGGAACTCTTTTCATCGAATCCTTTTCTGATACGAGTACATTTCTCCTGCCTTTATGAGAAAGTATTATTGTAATTAGCACTAAACAATTTTGTAGTTTCAGTGTGTTAGTGCTTTTGTTGGGTTAGTCACTCTACAGTTAGGTTCATTTCACTTGTACATGATAGATGTGGTTCCTCACTTTAATTGGGGAACATTGGCGCCTTCCTCTCAAATGTAAAGTTTGCCACAAACCTTGCTATAAGTTCAATTATGTTATCATGTTAGTTGCTTCTTGCTTGATCGATTCTGTAATTCCTTTTCTTTTCGTTTCTTTTTTCTGAAGTAATGGAAGTCAGGGCTAGAAGAAGCAAAAATTGGGAGAATTTCACTCAAGTTGAATGAGAGGAGGAGGTCAAACTTCAATGCATGAAGGTTTTTGGGTGTTATCAATTATCCTAATAAGATTAATGGAGCCTTATGTACTTCACATGGTTTCATAGGTTTATGATCGAACAAGTTGTCAGTTTTAAATTTCTTGTTGCTCAACTATTTATTTCTGTTGGTTTTGTAACCTTGATGAATATTTTGATACTTACCAACAACTAGCAACATTCAACTTGTTTGTGATATATTCAAGCAAAATCTAGCCACTCATTTGTTTAATAATGGACCTTCATGTTTTTTCATTGCAAAATGGTGATGGGTGAGTTTGTTTTAAATTAGTGTAATAACTAATTATTAAAAAAAACTCGATGGTTTGGTTTGGACCGAACACCCGCAACTTGACCCGTTTGCAACCCGCAATCCGATCAACCCGAACCCGATTGATCTGCAACCCGATTAACCTGTAACCCGATTGATCCGCAACCGACCAACCCGAACCCAATTTGTCCGCAACCCGATTGACCCGCAACCCGATCAACCCGAACCCGCTTGACCCGCAACCCGATTGAACCCGACCCGAACCCGACCCGATTGACACCTATACTTGCTCCCGTAATATGTTATATGCAGATTTTAAAGAGTAAGTTCCATCCTCAGAATCCAACCAAATCCTTCTATCATCATAGAGAGGAAACTGGAGAGGAATTTTGAAACAAGCTCACAATCACCTTTTGAGAATTTCTCGCGTAGCCTGGTCATATCTCATTCAACCCTTTCATGGTTAACAAAATCACTAATACTTTCGTTATTATCCATCGCAAAGGGTTGGGGATCAACATAATATAAACTTTTTCCCGGAATCCAAGCATCTTTCTAGACTTTAATTGACTCCCCATCTCCAACTCTCCATCTAAACCCTTACTCAATTTTACCTTTTGCAACAATGTTGCTCTTCCATTGGTAACTTGGTCTATAATATTTAAATCTATTTCATAACCGAAACCAATTATACCATGTTCATTAGCGTGAGAACCATGAATGATCGACTACTAATCTTTTGGATGAAATGAAGCAGACTTGAAGGATCCGAATCCGACCCGGGGAGAAATCCGTCCACGTGGAATTCAAGGCGCGTGAAACGACCTGAAGGATCCGAATCCGACCCTGGGAGATATCCGTCCACGTGGAATTCAAGGCGCGTGAAACGAACTTGCTATCTCCCATTTATAAACTGGATGGCTAAATATCGCCCTTGTTTTACTATTATCGCCCTAACTTATAATATAAAACTACTAAATTACCCTTCATTAATCAAACCAAGTCCAACAAAACAAACACACTCTGAAATCCCTAATTTCCTTTAACAACACCAACCTCCTCTCTCCGAACACCCTCTGCCGTTGTCCGCCAATGTTTCTTCACCACACCGTCGCCTACACCCTTCTCCCCGATTTCTAGCGGCACCATCCACCAGCCGCAGAATGAGGCCATGGCGGGTAACAAACCACAAACCAATTCCCAGAATCCAATTCACATGTTCATAAAAAAAACTCACATGTTCTCCGATCCACGTCTCCCAATCTTTACTCCGATTATGCCAGACCATTTCCATCCTAAAGGAGCACTACAATTGAAAGAAGCTCCCTTCATTGCCCCGTCAACTTCAATGCTTCTTTCTGTATTAAGTTTGATTTTCTTGTTTGTACAACATCAAAATCCAATAGTAAGTGGGTTGCTTGTTTGTTGCAGTTGGGATTGTACCTGAAATATACTTCATATACGATGTCTATAAAAAAAGGCTGATAGCCACTAGGAACTATCTCGAAAAGGATATTCACTCGCTACAAGAGTCCCTTCTATCCAGAACTTAGAGGTTTTCCCACTTGCTATTGTTAGCTGTTTTCATAATAATAGGCTAGGCTTCGATACCACCGTCTAGTTGACGATGTAGTTATAGGTGATGTCATGATGCGATACTAGAATGGCCTACCACGATTGTATTTTTGTCGATCAAGTTACCCTCCTCCGATTGACATGGTGACGGCCGGCGGGATCAGGATCCACGGTGGTGGGAATAAAAAAGCGGTTAATGTCACATAAAATGTGTTCCTTATAATATTATATTTTTAACAATAAAAAAGAAAAAAAAAAGAGTAAAAAGGTCCTAATAATTTGTAAGTTAGGACGATTACAATAAATCTAGGGCGACATTTAGCAACTTGTCCGTCGGATGCATACCAACGCCGACGTGTCCTCCTTTCTCTCATCTGTTCAGTGTTCACTCAAAACGATCTCCTCAGTGTTAAACTGTAACCACCGCCGTCGGCGCTCGACGGAATCCGGAAATCCACTCCCGATCAATTTCTCCCCCTTTGCAACTGCTGGTCGGTCAACGAGAGTGATGTTCGTGGCGCTTCTCGAATTCGACTGAGCGGAAAGGTCCCGAGTCGACTAGGCAAAACAAGAAGAACCCAGAGATGAGGGCGTTGAGGTATAAGTTCTGGAGATCTTGCGAGGACAAGGGAAACGCTGGAGGGGAATCGGAAGGAACCGGGGGAAATGAAGGCGAGAGCTCTGATCAATTCGATCATGAAATTGTGCAGCTGACGAAGCTTAGGTCAGGGCCGCACGAACGCTTGAGTCGAGAAACCCCGAAGGTGTCCAGAGCGTCATCCGTCTCCACCTTGAAGATGTTGGCCGGCCGGGAGGCCAATTGCTCTGGAAGAGGGAGATTCTCAACGGCCGATGGTTGCCATGTGTTGAGCCGGTATTTGCCCGTGAATACTCCTGTGGAGGTTGACAACACGAGGAGCCGGGCTTATGTGTCTCAGTTCTCGGCGGATGGATCGCTTTTCATCGCAGGGTTTCAGGTAACACTTCCTGTTATCCGTTGACCTGAGGTAGTGACTGTGATTTTCTCTGTGGAAATGGGGGTTTGGAAGGTTAATTGTATTCGGGGTTGCGCAGGGGAGTCACATTAGGATATACAACGTGGAGAAGGATTGGCAAGTTCATAAGAATATTCTGGCCAAGAGCTTGCGGTGGACGATTACTGATACTTGTCTTTCCCCTGATCAGCGGTTTCTTGTAAGTATTGGGTGCTTGAATTTGTTGGATAGAGAACATTATCTTGGTTTCCTTATGATGGCTAGCTTAGTTCTTTCCTTCTGTCTTGAAATGTGCAGGTGTATGCAAGTCTGTCTCCTATTGTACATATTGTTGATGTTGGTTCTTCCACAACCGAGTCGCTTGCAAATGTAACGGTATGTATGCTGTAAGTGCCATTGCAAGATCAAAATTTTGGTATGCTAGATAGGTTCCCATTGTGTTTTGCAATGATAAACCCGAAGTTTCAATTAATGGCTTGCTCAGAATTGTTTTCTTCCCATTGAGCTTATACTTAGTGTTTGGCGGAAAGTGATCTCTGCGTGTGGGTTTTGTTTCTTCATTCTAAAAATCTTCATGTGCAGGAAATCCATGATGGTTTGGATTTTTCCAGTTATGATAATGAGGATGATGATGAATTCGGGATCTTCTCTATAAAATTTTCAACTGATGGCAGGGAGCTGGTCGCAGCAACTAGTGATGATTCAATATATGTTTATGACCTTCAAGCCAACACTCGAACCCTCCACATTCCTGCCCACCAGGTAACCTTTTTCTTTGTCGTCCCTCCCCACCAATTTCCCGTCTTGTCAATGATCGAGTGATGAGAACTGTACTCTTGGTTTAGTTGAATCTCCAATGTATTAGACTCTTGATTTGGATGCCTTCTTGCAGGCTGATGTAAATACAGTATGCTTTGCTGATGAAACTGGCCATGTTATTTACTCTGGAAGTGATGACCACTTATGCAAGGTAATTAAAGCTTGATTCCTGGTAAGTGTATCTCTCATGGAGTTGTTGCTGTTGGTTTATATTTTATAACACTTGCAGGTTTGGGACAGACGATGCTTTAACGACAGAGGGCAGGCAGCAGCAGGAGTATTGGTGGGGCATCTGGAAGGTGTCACATTCATAGATAGCCGTGGAGATGGACGTTATTTGATATCGAATGGGAAGGATCAGACCACAAAGCTATGGGATATAAGGAAGATGACTTCAAATGCCACAAAGTAAGTGAGATGTTATTGTTTGTCAAATACTCGAGCAATTTATGTCATAACTATATGGTTACATCTCATTTCATCCCTTCAACCAGCTATCCAAGAATAAGAGATCCGGACTGGGATTACAGATGGATGGAATACCCACCTCATGCTAAAACGATGAAGCATCCTCGTGATATGTCCTTGACTACTTACAGTGGTCATTCGGTCCTTCGCACCCTTATTCGCTGTTACTTCTCGCCTGAGTACAGGTACTGATTTTTGCTTAAAGATGTTTGTTTTGGCTAAAGGGTAACTTAAAAGGACTTCAACTACAACATAAAAAAAGGAAAACATGAAGCTAAAACAAACACATCCTAAATATTGTTGGCCTCGACTTTTTACGAGTTTCGATCTAACTAATTGTGATGATTGTGATGCAAACTTGTTTGCAGCACCGGCAGGAAGTACATCTTCACAGGGTCGAGTGACTGTTGTGTTTATATTTATGACTTGGTAGGCTTCCTTTCACCTCAGAGTCAAAGAGCAGATTTCCCTCTATTTATTGGAAATGAAGCGATCATGGTCTAATGTTGTGAATTTCGTCTCGTTTGGGTTATGTTGTTTAATAAAAGGTGAGTGGAGCTCAAGTGGGTTGCCTGGATTATCATGAAGGACCTGTGAGGGATGTTAGCTGGCACCCCGTCTACCCGATGCTCGTCAGCTCCTCGTGGGATGGCCGCATCGCGAAATGGGAGTTTCCTGGCCCCGATGAGGAGTTGAATCCATCTGCAGTCATACGGAAGAAGAGAACTATTCGCCAGCATTTTCTATACTGAGTGAGGAGAAGGAAGAGAGCCATGTTCTTGTGGGGGCACTCAAATGGCTGATGTATTACCTAAAGAAGGATCTCATAGTTGTCATGTGTATGTATGTATACAGAAGATGAATAAAAAGGTTCAGTGAAACTGTTGTGAAGTAGCTGCTCTGAATTCTTTGAAAGTTGTAAGATAAGTTTCTTTCTTTCTCTATCAGTAACCTTTTTCCCAAAACTTTTGTTTGGTACTTTTGAGTTTATTCTCACAATTCATAATGGGAATATTAATGATGTATGTATATAATATATTGGCTTAGTTTGAATCCTTGTTTTGCGATCTTCTGATTATGATTTTCTATTGTTGTGATAGAGTGAATATCCGAACATTATGTGAATTACATGTAATTCAAAATCATGATTTCAAATACATGTACAAGCACACATAATCAAAATAACCTTATTAATATTCAAAGCTGACATGGGCGAAAGGCTTTCTGCTTGTAGTAGCTACTCTACTCAGCCAACAACAACATATTTAGACACCCCCTTTCACTTAAGGCGTCAAATAAACAAGAGACCCCCTTTTTTCTTCCAACTTGATTCTCAGATACTGATGTCCATAGATTCTATTCTAAAACTTGTAATGCCACCACCCTTCCGGTTTCTTGACTGTTTTTGGCCATTATTATCTTGCAACAATTTCTGATATTCAGCTTTATAAACAGATTGATCATCATGTGTGTATTTACTTTTGTCCCATACATACATGAAGGTAACACCAGTCTTCAGAATTTGCTTTTTCTTGGCAGCAATTGGAAGGGATAGCAGGATATACCAACTTTCTGGGTTTTTGGGATTCTGGGTTCAGCTGGAAAAGATGGAACTCCTGGGTTGTGGTCATATTATTGAGTATGGATGGTACTTGTTGGAGATGCTGTGGTAGAGGGGAAACCGCGGCGGGTTCTTTTGGATACTGATTTTGACACTGATCATTTCTTTGCTCTACTGTACCTCTCGAAGCTAAACCAATCAGATTTGTAATCCTTGCTTAATAAGGATTTGGACAATGGTTGTTATACGGGGTTTTATTTTTCTCCATTGTGTTTTCAGGTTATTCATTCATGAATTCCAGTCAGTCTTGTGCCTTTGGATGCAACAAACGCGATTCCAGCATATGAGTTCTTTGAGGTGTTTGAACAGAGACAAGAGACGTACAAGGCACAGTACTGCTTCAAATCCTAGAAAATGGCCTGGGACACTTGGTTGGATAATCAATTCTACTTAGTAATTCATCTTCTAGTTCCAATCCCACTTCAAAATGAAAAGAAGGAATGTTGGTTGAGACAATGACTCTATGTTTGCTTGCACAGCTACTTCATGTGGGACTCTTTCATATCTGCTGTGGCAGCTTCCATCCTGCTGCAAAATCCACATAAAAGCAAACTTGGGGAGAATGAGTTCGTAGAGATGAGTACATAAACATAACTGTGGTGACCTCAAATCAACCTTATGGAATCAATGATGGATCCAATCCAGCCTTTGATGGCTGTCAAGTTCCAAAATGGTCTGCAGAAAGGTGGGATTCATAGTGGACATGTCCAGACAAGCCCGGGAGATTCGTTCTGCATAGTGAAGAATGACAAAGGCAAAATCCAGGTAAAAAATGACTGCATCTCCTTCACAAAATTTGTTCCCCAATTCTTCTGGGACATATAGGATGACTACACAAAGGATACTGCAGGTCCAGATTCAGTACAAGTTCTTGTTGCTACAAGAGCAAAGGCTAGTGGAGAACCAAGTAGCATGTTCTACTAGTGAAACCCCTCAATGTCCTTGCTGGAGGTGATGAATCCACTGATGGACAAACAGTGATCGATGAAGTGAAGGAAAATTAGCCAAAGTGAAACTTATAGAGCCATGTGCATATTACGAAGCTTTCGTGAATCAACTAGGAGAACAGAAGCAATCTGCTGTCATAGGAAGCTTTGAGGAGCAAAAAGAATCTGGAAAACAGGCCTCCAAAGTAACACAAGTTTTCATGTGTAAAATACTGGACCTGGACCAGACTTTTCGACACACGGAAGTTTGATTTTATATCTGTACTTTGCCCTATTCAAAGGAAACATAGTACAGTTCATAGAGAAAGGTGATAGTAAAGTGTGCTACTCCTAGCTATCTCGGTCTTATGAATATTCGAAAAACTAGTGAGTGAAATCGATTCGGACTTATAATCTTCTGAAAATAATAAGTTGTAAGAATCGAATCCTAAAACACACCGTGCTAATCTCATACTTTATCACTTGAGTTATTCCTGGTTTTAAAAGTGTTTTGATGAGTTCTTCTATTACTAGCCAAAACATGGGATGAACTAGCCAATCAGGATTTAACAGCATGTGTAGATCAGCAAGAGAAAAAAAAAGGATGTGGATCTGCCCACCATCAGAAGTGGCACTTTTCAGATTCGCTTACTGTCAAAGATCGTGTCTTCTCAGATTCTGAATTCATGGTTGCGGAAATTCTACAAAGTCTTTTACCATCTTCTTTATTTTATTCTATAAAAGAGTTGGTGCGTTTCCTTTTCCAACATGAATTCACACTTGGGTTGGTTGAGCTGACAGGAATGGTTTGGGTTTGTTTTGTTTATCTTTTCCTCCAAAACTGATTCTCACTAGCTAACAGAAGCAGAGGAAATCATTCAAAGATTTGATGAATGGCCAACAACTGTCTGGACTCTGGCGTGATTGGATTGATGGGAATTGGCCTATTTCCCCTTTTTAAAGCTCAATCATGTGGGAGGGAGTATCCTATTCCACCACTAACTTCCATGTTTTGTTTGTTTGCATATTCTTTTGGGGGGAAGAGAGAAACAAAGGAGATTGAAGGACAGCCTCAGCAGAGTGAAGAGTTGACTGATTCTGAGGAATCAAATCTTTCCCAGTTGAGAATGAGAGATGATTTTGAGTCCCTACAATATTCATAGTTGGCAGATTTGGGTTCTTGTGAAACTTTTAGTTCTTTGCTTACAAGGGATATTTGCTGTTGTTGTTTACCTAGGAAGGCATGTTTGTTTTTGTGACATATGGCACCACAATCTAGACAAGTGTTAATTTTGCTTTCGTCCCGGACCTATCAAATTTCCACTTAAACACAAGATTTCTCACTATATTTTCGTTCGAACTTACACAACTAAGTCACAGGGCGTCTAAAGAATAAGTTGTATCTCAAGGTTTGATCTGAAAGCACCACTGTCTATCATACAAAAAGTTTGACAACCCCATCAAGTATATATGAAATTGACTCGTCGTACCAGTTAAACCACATACCGAAGGCTACACTTTCATCACGGTTTAACCATTGCATGTCGAACGTTAACATCGTCGGTTCCATCCTGTGAACGACAGTTACCAACATGAAACAACAATGCAGGAACAAGAAACCAATTGTGACTTCAAGAAACAGAGAGAAGGGAGGGATCGGATCTATTTGATAATGTGAAAGATCACATACATACATCAATACAATCACAAAAAACCTACCCTCATTAGTTAGGAACTGACCCTTATAGGTTGGCAGCATATCATAAAGCATGAAGAACAACAACATGACAAAGAAATAGCTTTCTCTACATTAAAACAACCTTCCAATCTCTTCTTCCCACGATTTGCTCATAGGAAACCCAGCTCATCCACCGGAACTGATCCACCAGCAGCCACAATTTTTTGCTCCAGCTGCATAATTTTGCAGCAAGGAGAATTACTTAGTAACTCCCTCAACCTAATAACCAGGAAAGGGGAAAGGAGAGGAAAGAAGGATGGAACTAAGATTGTGTATCAACTCACACTGAAGAGATTTTCTAATTTGTTCTTCACAAGGTAGTATTCCTGCTTTACCTGATGCAGGCATCTCAGGCTCCTGCATTAGATGAAACACTCGAAACAGTTTCAGGCTCAAAATCTCTGAGCTCTATTGTACTCAAACAACCAGCTTATGAACCAAAAAGTAAAGAAAAAAGGAACCTGCTAGGCTTAACGATCATTTGCAACGATTTATCATTTTTTGTTGACACTTATCTCAAGAGGTATTTGAATAAATTTACTCTTACAAAATGAGTCTGATATGTTTCTTTCTCATCTTTCTGTCACAGTTTCACATAGGAATGCAATCTAATGAACCAGCAAATGTCTACAAACACATAGAACAAAACGCACGACATTCAAAACTCACCCTTCAATGTTCTGTTCATCACAGAAGCTGCGGAAAGCAACACAGGCATTCTTAACTCTCTGAGCTCCTATGCTGCAAAATTCAACAAAACAGAATCATTCTCCCAACCCATCATTATGTCTACAGATCTAACAAACTACCAAAATCAAAATCCCATTTCCTATTTTCACACAGTGAAACAAAGGTTGGAACTTTTGAAGTGGAGTTTAGGTGGAAGTGGATATCCCATCATCAAAAGCAATAATTTTACCTGGAGCTGCTGCCTTTGAGCTGGTGAACATGTGCATCAACTTTCTTAAAGTCCACACCTTGCTGCTGATCTCTGTGGACAAAACAAAAGAAGGATCAGACCAAACTTTAGGGATTTAAAGGAGAAAAGCAGAGAAGGGGATGTCAGTAATCAGGTACTAAGATTACTTACATAACTTTGGTGAGATCATTGAGAAGGCGCTCAGAATCTTCAAAGAAGAGAGACACAACTTCCACAACGAAATCTGGGTTGCTCTCATCTTGCAGCAGCTGAAGCTGAGCAAATTGACTGTCCAGATAGCCCTTTCCCCCCCACCACCAAATCGAAATTCACAGATCAATTAATGAACCAGAAAGAGGAAAACATCCATTGAAGAAAAAGCTTCAAATTGTTTTGCTGGTTTGAATTATTTAGAGTGTTACCTCTCTATACAAGGACTTGGTGTACTCAACCCAGGTTCTTTGCATCTGGATTACATCCATTTTCTCTCTTCTTCTCCGACAGAAAGATGGCTGCTTTCAGACAAAAGGAATCGACCCAGTTGCTGGAATTTTAAGCTAGTTGTTTGCACAACCGAGTTGATGGATTTAATGCCTGTGGGAGAAGAGCTCAAACGAACAAGAAAGTTGAAAGCTGCCTTTTTTTTCTTCTTCTGGGTTTGTGGCTTTAGCCAGAGGGAGGGAGAGAGAGTCAGCTTAGCTTGAGCAGCAGCAAAGCAACTAAGCAAGAGGAGATCAGAAGGGCTTAATAATCTTTATACCAGGTTGATTTTTTTTTTTCCTCTTTCCATTTTTGCTTTTTAAGTGGAATATTGCTTTTTGTAAAATGTCTTTCTTTGTCCGAACCTATAAATGTCACCTTATTAATTTCATTATTATTACAATGTTAATCCTTTGAAATTGGACCAATGGTGTCCGAATTCAGACATATTATCAGCTGCCAACCCAAAATTAGATGAAGTTTTATCTCATATTTATCTGAAAATAATATATTGAATTAATTTGGTTCATGGATATTGTTTTATTGAAATTAGGTTCACTTATTATTCTAAAAACATTTTTTAGAGAATATTAAATTAAAAACATTAACTGCAAAAAATTTAGGCCAGTGGGGATTTTATTGCATTCCAGGAAGGATTCATAACTCCTACATTAACAGGGATAGTTACTACACAAATGTCAGTTGAACTTTGAAATACTAATAAGTGGTATGCAAGTTTGACCTTTTATTGAATTTGTTACTACAATTCCATCCATCTCTATTCAGAGAAACACATATGAACGAATTCCCCAACTAGATCGAAGGTCAAGAAAAACCACCTCTATCTACTTATTTGTTAAGTTGCCATACGAATTTTGGATGATTTTAACAAAAATTGAAATGACAATTTTAATGGTGAACCAAGTTTTGATGACAAATTTGTTAAAATTCACAATTGCTCAAGCTTATTTGTAATTTCACCTCAAAGTTCATTGACGACCCCATCCCTAATCTTCATAAAATCTAGAAGAAGAGAAATACTTAAACCTAGTGTGTAACACAAAAGAAAGTTTGTCTTTCGATTCAAGTTTTAATTCTTTTTCACCCTTCTTGATATGTATGCGAGTAATACATATGAGTCATTCATTCGCGAGCCAACTTGCATCTGTTAGAGAGTGGTATAAGATCCAACAAAACCTTCTCCCAACAACTTGAGTTATTGGGAGCAACTGGTTCATGACATGGTATCAGAGCCTAGAACCGAAAGGTCATGTGTTCGAATCTCCACGACCCCCAATATTAACCGTTGTCTTTCAAGCACAAGGTATGGTGGGCCTGTGCAAACTTCAAGCCCATGGGTTGGCTTTCGTTTGAGGGGGCGTGTTAGAGAGTGGTATAAGATCCAACAAAACCTTCTCCCAACAACTTGAGTTATTGGGAGCAACTGGTTCATGACAGCATCAAATAACATCCAAAATGGTGGCATGAGGGGTGAACCAGTTCGACCCTTTTATTTATCAACTCTTGAAGAAAACTAATAGCGGAAGCAAAATAACACAGAAGATTTACGTGGTATCCTCGTTCGATATGAACGAGACTAATCCACGGAGCGCTCACAAGAGCTCTCGGCTGAACTTTTATTAACCTCACAACTACACACGAGCTACAGTGGCATGCAAGCCATATATAGGCCATTAACCCTACACGACGTGATCAACTAGGGTTACAATAACTTGGTCAATTACCATTGACTACCATGTATAGCTATCTCTGACAATTAAGGACAACCAACCAATTTGCCTAATTGCCACGTAACACTCCCCCTCAAGTTGACGCATGAATATCATGAAGGCCAAGCTTGGAGGCAAGGTAGGCGAATTGCTCACTGCCCAATCCTTTGGTGAACACATCCGCCACTTGATCGCCAGTGGAGATCTTCTTGGGATCAATCTCCATCGAAGCCACTCGTTCTCTGACAAAATGACAATCCATTTCAACATGTTTTGTGCGTTCATGAAAAACTGCATTGGCAGCAATGTGTAGAGCCGCTTGGTTGTCGCAATATAACGGAGTGGGACCTTCTGACTTCACACCTAACTCCTGTAGCAACCCACGTAACCATATCAACTCACTAACCGTGACAGCCATTGACCTGTACTCAGCTTCGGCCGAGGACCTTGCCACTACTGATTGTTTCTTCGTACGCCATGACACAGGACTTTGACCTAGTTGAATGAAATATCCAGACGTCGAACGACGTGTTTCTTGACATCCTCCCCAGTCTGCGTCGCAGTACGCCGTTAGACTCAAGTCAACTTTTGAAGGAAAGAATAAACCACGCCCAGGAGCATGCTTCAAATATCGTAGAACACGATATGCTGCTTCCACATGCTGCTGCCTAGGCGAATGCACTGCCTGACTCAATATGTTAACTGCATATGTGATATCAGGTCGTGTTACTGTCAAATACAAGAGCCTCCCGACTAACCTGCGATATGCTGAAGGATCATGTGCTGCCGGACCCTCAACACGGGTGAGGTGGTGATTTTGTTCAATAGGGAAAGAGCACGGCTTTACTCCAAGAGCACCAGCATCATTCAGGATATCTAACACGTATTTACGTTGAGATAATGAGATTCCATGACGCGATCGTGCCACTTCTATCCCCAAAAAATACTTTAATGGTCCTAAATCTTTGATACTGAATTCCTGTTGCAGAAAAGCTTTCACCATTTCAATAACTTCCAAACTATCTCCCCCTAGAACAATATCATCCACGTATATGAGAGCAAATACGAACACCCCATCCTTCCGGTATGTGAATAGTGAGTGATCTGCTCGTGAACAACTGAAACCAAACTGTAAGAGTGCCAATGTGAACTTTTTGTACCAGTTGCGCGACGCTTGACGTAATCCATAAAGTGATTTGCGAAGACGACATACACGCGCGTCCCCTTGTCGAGCAAACCCTTCGGAACGCGCATATAAACTTCTTCGTCAAGATCGCCATGAAGGAATGCGTTGTTGACGTCCAATTGCTGCAAAAACCAACCATGTTGAGCCGCAAGGGCCAACACGCAACGAACTGTAACTAACTTCGCAACTGGGGCGAAGGTGTCGTGAAAATCAACACCCTCTTGCTGTGTATACCCCTTTGCGACGAGACGGTCCTTGAACCGTTCAATACTACCATCAGGCCGGTATTTAATCTTAAATACCCACTTGCAATCCACGATCCGTTTCCCGGGTGGAAGAAAACACAGCTCCCATGTCCCATTTGCAATGAGAGCATCAAATTCACGTTGCATGGCGTCACGCCAGCAAGCATTCAGAATTGCTTCAGCAAACGTGCGAGGCTCCTCCATGCGTGTGATTGCTGCAACAAAAGCATGATAGCTAGGTGACAAACGATCATAATTAAGAACATTATCCATAGGGTATTTCACACAAGAATGAGCATGAGGTAACGTGACCTCGTAAATATCAAACCGACGAGGCAACTGACGATGACGATCCCGACGATTGAGTTCAACAACTGGCGATGGGGAGGAATCTGGAGATGACTGATCCTGAGATGACGTAGCAGGCGAAGGCGGGGCTGGTGGCGACATAGGAGTAGGTGAAGTGGACTCGGGATCAGTTGTCGAAGTGGGAGAAGAAGCCTCAAAGGCTATGTCATCAGGAGCGCTAGAAACAGACGTATCACCATGATCATGGCCGGGGTCGGGAGGATGATCATCGATCACAAAGTCTGGGACAGCGGGAGGGACGGTCGAGGAACTAGGGACAGACGACGACTGGTAAGGAAAATGCTCCTCGCAAAACACTACATCGCGTGATGTAAACACAGTCTGATCATCCAAACTAAAAACCCGATACCCCTTTTGGTTAGCAGGGTAACCAACAAAAATACATGGTCGTCCTCGTTCCGCAAACTTGTCGAGAGAAGAGTGTGTGTCCTTGGCATAGGCCAAACAGCCAAAAGTACGAAGGTGAGCATAAGTCGGTTTCTTGCCGAAGAGACGCTCAAAAGGAGTGTCATTACCGGTCACAGAGGAGGGAAGTCGATTAATCAAATATGCTGCGGTTAGGACACATTCTCCCCAAAATTTGATGGGTAAATGAGCATGGAACCGAAGGGAACGAGCAACTTCTAACAAATGTCGATGCTTACGCTCCACAACACCATTTTGTTGTGGCGTGTCAGTACACGACGTCTGCAGGATGATTCCTTCACTTGCGTAGTAGGTACGTAAGACATTAGTTTGGAACTCCATACCATTATCAGCCTGAATACGAACCACGGAATGACCATATTGGCGTTGAGCCTGTTGACAAAACATCATCAAATAACCAGCAACTTCTGATTTATACCGAAGAAGAAATACCCATACTGCTCGAGAAAAATCATCAACCACAGTGAGGAAATAATGTGCACCGCTCAACGATGAATCTTTATATCCACCCCAAATATCAACGTGAATCAACTCAAACGGTCGAGTAGTCTTAATGGAACTTAACGGAAAAGGACTGCGAGTCTGTTTAGCTCGTAAACAAGAGGAGCAATGACCCGGATGGGACTGTTTAGAACCGGAAACAAAAGATAACATAGACAACTTTTCGAGAGATGGGTGACCCAGCCTGGAGTGCCACAAACGAGCAGATGACTTTCCGTCTCCTTTCGTAGTGTATGCAGCCACGTCCGTCACTTCATCAAAGAGCCGAAGAAAATACAATCCATCATGTTGATGGCCCATCCCAATCATCTTCTTGCAACGCGAGTCCTGCAGGATACAGAAGTCATGCAAGAAGATACAAGCAATGGGAAACTCCTTAGTTAACCTGCTGATTGACAAAAGGTTGCATTTGAACTCGGGAACTAACAAAACACGAGAGATAACCATCCCATTACTCAGCCGAACTGACCCAACCTGCTCAACGTCAACAGACTTGCCATTTGGAATTCTCACCCTTAATTCCGATGGCTTGAAACCATTATACAGAAGACTAACATCATGGACAATGTGCTCGTTACAACCCGAGTCCAGAATCCATGTAGTAGAATGAAAAGATTTACCCGTGAGTTTGGTGGTCGAGGCTTCAGGTGAGAAAGTTGATCCTGCGAGGAATTCCTTGAGTTGCGCCAGCTGCGCCATGCTTAAACCAGTAACAGGACTCTCACCAGCCTCGACTGCCGCCGCCTTTGGAGTGTGCTTGGAGCGATCAGTGCTCTTCTTGCGACCAGCACCTTCCGACTGAGAGGCAGGACGTTCAGGCCAACCAATGAGATCAAAGCATCGATCTTTGAGGTGGCCTGTTTTCCCACAGTGTGTACACTTATGCCGCCCACGTCCATCAGACGAGGACTCCCCGTGAATTGCATCATCACGAGCATGAAAGGC